GACAAGTCTTGCTCTGTCACCAGGCTGGAGTGCAGTGGCTCGGTCTTGGTTCACTGCAACCTCTCCCTCCCGAGTTCAAGTGATTCCCTGCCTCAGCTCCCCCCACCAGCAGTGGCTGGGACTATAGGCGTCTGCCACCACGCCCAGCTAATTGTTTGCATTTTAGTAGAGACGGAGTTTCGCCATGTTGGCCAGGATGGTCTCGATCTCTTGACCTCGTGATCCACCGGCCTTGGCCTCCCAAAGTGCTGGGATTACAGGCATGAGCCACCAACCCCAGCCAGTTTATTCAAATCTTTCCCAGTGTCCAAGATCTGTCCTGAATCCGACCTATGCGAGGGAGCTCCCCTAGTGAATTACCAAGCAGCCATAACTGCTCCTCCTCTGGTCTGCAAAGCGCTTGTAGAACATGTCTCAGGCAGTCTTGTCCTGATTACGGGTGTATTGCCCCAACTCCCACTTCTTCTAATTCTTTGAGCAGTGCAATGGAAAAAGGCTTACACGAACTTTGGAGTTGCGCACAACTGTGCCCAGACTGTGCCTATGATAGGTGACCTCAGGAAGGTAACATAGACGACCTCACTGAACTTTATCCCTATAGTAACAGCTAACATTTATGGAGCACGCCCTTTGAGTGCACGGTGCTATCCTACGTGCTTTTCATGTGCTAACTCACTTCACCCTCATAACAACCCTGTGAGTAAGTATTACCATTCCGTTTCATGGATGAAGGAAATAAGGCACAACGCTAATCTCAGAGGGTGTGAGAGGTAAGGGCGCTGCGCTGGGCGATCAGTGGACAAACCTTGTCCAGTTTCTGCTTGGCTCTGCAGCCTAGAGAGTGCCAGTGTTTCTTTTTGAGCTTTCTACATCGTTCTTATTATACTCTCCATGCAATTTTAGATATCTTGGCTTGTTTTTTGCTTAGCATTACTGAGGAGTGTATTTTCCATGTCATTAAAAGTGTACATGTTTCCTCGCTCTACACCTCCCCTCTCTTTTCTTCCTGAACAATTCAGCCCTAAAGCCATTGGGTGGATCAGAGCAAGGTGGGTGTCAAAGGTGGGGATGGGCTTGGTGGCTCAGAGCATGTGTGGGAGCCCAGGGCAGGTGAGGAGGTGCAGGGGGCTGAGGGGTGAGGAATGTCTGCACAGGGCATGAGGGTGTGTCCTCACAAGGGCCAGTGGAAGCCCCAACAGGGCAAGGAGGGCATCCATGTGGGCAGGGGGCTGCCAGTAAGGGGTGTCAGAGCTCTAGCCGGAGGAGGTGGGGTAGATGGGAGATTGGTTACATGCAGGAGCATCGATCAAATAAGCAGGTTAATGGTAAGGGAAACCTGGTTTCTTACTGTCAGAGAAAGGGGGAACTGAAACGGACCTGTTAGATATGAATTGGAGGTACTGATTTGAACTCACAGCTTTCGATAGAGATAGAAAAACTTAGATTTTTTTTTTTTTTTTTTGGGGGGGGGCGGAGGTTTCCTTTTTTTTTTCTGGTTGGGGGGGGATGGGGGGATCTTGGCTCACCGCAACCTCCGCCTCCTGGGTTCAGGCAATTCTCCTGCCTCAGCCTCCTGAGTAGCTGGGATTACAGGCACGCGCCACCATGCCCAGCTAATTTTTTGTATTTTTAGTAGAGACGGGGTTTCACCGTGTTGACCAGGATGGTCTCGATCTCTTGACCTCGTGATCCACCCGCCTCGGCCTCCCAAAGTGCTGGGATTACAGGCTTGAGCCACCGCGCCCGGCCGAAAAACTTAGATTTTAAAAATCTTAATATATAACATATATTATAAATGAAAAGTATATTTATAAATATAGAAAACAAATTCTGTAAATATATATATTTATAAAAATAATAAAATAATAAATAAATATTTATAAAAATAAATAAATAAATAAATCTATTTATATATATAAACAGGAGAATTGGTATGTTCATATATATTTACAAAATATATATGAACATACCAATTCTCCTGTTCTGTCTGCTGACAGCGATGTTCAGACTGCAATGTGTGTGCCTAGTGCCCAAGGCTTCTTGGAGAAATGGCCAATTTCACGTCCAGGACTGACAAAGTACAAAGTGATCATGGAGCATCTCACGCCAGAAAG